GGTCTAGAGCTCCTGGTTGGTCTTTTCACGGCATGCTCACGCGCTATCTCATGTGTCACATGGATTATATCTGGTTTCGCTACCGCTGCTATCATCGCCACCGCCATTCTCTTGACCGTCACCGGCTCCACCGTTATTGGTGTTGTTCTAGGTGTCTCAAAGCATTACGGAGTGAAGGCCAATCTCAACAACAGTTTCTTGGCTGTTATCTGGATTAGCGTCGCTTTCGCTATCGGTGCCGGTCTTTTCTGGCTATTCTCCATCTGCTGCTGCAAGCCGGAAAACCGCCCTCATGGCAAACGTCACTTGGACAGCGAAAAGAACATGCCAACTGGCTCCTACGCTCCCCTCGGCGAAAACCACGGCGCTGGTTACGGCGGTTACAACTACGGCGCCCCTCAACGCGGTGGCGCTCGATCAGATCTCGCTTACGAGCCATACTCTCATTCCCGGGTCTAAGCGGGCTGTCGACAAACATAACGACGAACGTTTGTCATGTGAGGTTAGAATAGAGGGTTTCAGTTTCTTCGGTTTGGCGCTTGGTTGGGTTACGATTGGGTTAAACGACCAGAGTGTGTTCTAGGGGGATTGTAAGAGTCAATACGTGCCTGGTTATACCTAGGGCACTTCGATAAATCGATACCGTAATGAAATTCATGACCACATTTATAATGAGATTGTGCTTCGTATCATCTAGCGGGTGCTACGTAAATTTGTGTAATTGTTACGAAAGCTTCAAGAGCGCTAATCACGTGCTAAAGTGCCGAGTATACCAGAGTCCCGTTCCCTAAATTATAGCCCCGTCAGTAACTTCCCGTGGTAGAAAAGCCGCGTTGTGCGAAACAAACCCTTTAAGTTGCCGTATGGCACCGTTATGAAGATACTTAGGGGATGTCTCAAGAGGTAAGTTTACATATGTACTTTTCGTTTGTCCAGGGAGAAAAATCATTCATGTGCCAAGGCCCCACCACACGAGTCCCACCAAAACCTTACAAAATCAGTGATATCAAAAGACAAACGGCCTGAAAGCTATCATGTATGAAAAGAGTGCACGTTCGTATGACGCGGTTACTAACGTTTTTCACATACAGGCGGCACCTCACGGCCTGCTGCGCCGCGAGCACGTGCTAAGCCCGATCACGGCGCTTGCATTTCTGACGCTGGGTGAGAAGCAATACCTACTCGCGGCCGAAGACACAGATATCAAAATCTACGATGTCGCGGCCTCACGGCTCTGTGGCACGTTGCCGGTCTTCCATGCACAGCCTATCCACGGGATTTCCTTGCCTCCAGCTACCGAAGACCGCAGCAGCTCCGGCGGTCCCATAAGCCCTTCCCAGATTCTCGTCTGGGGCGGCAACGCCGTCAAAGTACTACCCATTCGTATTGTAGAGGAGCTGGTTTGTACTAGTGCTACAAATGGCATCGATGGCACTCTTGGAAAAGCCGGCTCGGTGAACACGGCACTCTCCGTGCCCGAGGCTATAGCTCCCGATTGGATATTTGACGGCCGTATCTCACCCTTTGACGATAGTCGCGTCGTTCTACTTACGGCGCATAATGAAGTCATTCAGGGGCATGTAAGCGCAGACCAGAATACACTTCTTTTGGGTCGGGTACGGTCCCCTTCGCGGCCGATCTTGTACTCTGGGAACTTCTTCTGGGTCAAACAGAACTGCGTACTTGTGGCAGCCGGGACTGTATTTGGCGAGATTGTGGTTTGGAAGTGTCACCTCGACTCTGATACCGAAACGGATGGCTGCAGCCCCAATATGGGGATGGACGGCACTCGGGAGAGGAGAGAATCGGTCGGTTGCGAGGTACTGTTCGTTTTCTCGGGCCACGAAGGCTCAATATTTGGCGTTCACATTTCGCCTGAGATAGTCACGAGTTCTGGGGAAACGATCAGACTGCTCGCAAGTTGCAGCGACGACAGGACAATACGAATTTGGGATATCACAGAACGAAGTCATGAACCTACGAATGACGATAACGAGTATGAGGCCCAAATCTCCGGCGCGAGACAGACTGGGTTTGGTGACTCTATTGTCGGCTCGATAGGGCTAGTTAATAGCCAGTCGAGGTGTGTCGCGATGGCCATGGGCCATATATCCAGGATTTGGCAAGTTGAGATTAGAAGTCCAGGTTTGCTTTCCAGGGGTGATGTGGTTGAAGTTTATTCATTCGGAGAAGATGCTACGATGCAGAAATGGCACCTCAAACTAGACGCAGGGTCACTACCTCCCTCCAGCTTGATCCACCACGAGACTTTTTCTAATCACAACGGGAAGCAAATCTGGTCTCGCTCTATGCTTGCTACTGAAAGTGGTCTTTTGATAGCTACTGGTGGTGGAGATGGTAAGATCGCCCTCATGGAGCACGGCTCAAATTGCCCGCCAAAGACCTTGAACGACACAACAGATGACGCCGACCATTATCAGCGGTCAATCCAAGAACTGGACATATCCCCAATGTCCCTTATAGAAAAATGCCAAAAGCAAAATGTTGGGGCTGGCTCTTCTCTCTCGTCCTTTAAGCATGGAAACGGAAAGGAGACGTTTCAAAGCTTCGCATTCATCACAGACAACAGACTACTTATCACAACAAGATCAGGCCGCCTGTTTCTGGGTAGCTTCGATAGTAAGACAGAGTGGCAAGAGCTCGCAATCACGGATGCTATCCGGAAGACCATACAATCATACACGATCCTTAGAAGTTCAAGGAGAGCTGCGACGGCTTTCATTGGGGCTCCTAACGGGGAGTTATTTTATTATAATGAGACCAGTGGTCACTCGCTTCAGTCATTCCACAAAGCAGAGCGAAAGATCACGGAAATCATTTGTCTCTCTGATACGTTAGCTACATCTCCGCATGCGCCTCCCGACTGCGTCGGAGAACTTGATAGTCATATTGAACTCCTTGTTACGGTATTTGGAAGCACGAAGGCGGAACTTCTCCGTCTTGATCAAAACCGCACTCTGATACGACGAATAGAGGTCGTAGTGCCCGACACATTCATTACGACAAGTGCCGCATGGTGTCACAACTACCTTATCCTCGGCTCTAGGAACGGGAGCATATCGATCTTTGACCTGGCCACCAATGGGGGGCAGGCTCCCATCCTGACCATAGAAGTCAATATCGGTGACAAGGTCACCTCCATTCTTCCTCTACCACGGCAATCCGAGCACTCGCCACTCTACTTCCTCACGACTGCCCGCGACGGCAAATACAGGGTCTACGAGATCCTCAACACGACAAGTGACTTCCAGCTCCGCTTACTCCACGAGACAAGACCACCATTCGGGCCCCTGATCGAAGGATCATGGCTTTTCGACAAGCCAGACGGAAAACGCGATCTCATGCTTTGCGGCTTCCGCGGCAAGGACTTTGTAGTCTGGAACGTGACACGGCAGCGCGAAGTCGCGACGATTGACTGCGGCGGTGGGCACCGAATATTCGACCAGGTGCAGATTGGGGGGAATCCCGAAGGTCTCAGGTTCGCCTGCACAAAGGCCTCGCAGATGAAGATCTTCTCACAAGTCCGCGCCCCGCATCTCCCGCTGAAGACGGGAGGCCACGGCCGCGAGATCAAGGCCGTCTCGGCCTCGGGGAAGTACGTTGCCACAGGCGCCGAGGACACCATGATTCGTATATGGGAGTTTGGCGATAGCAATCGAGGAGAGCAGCAGCTACGCTGCGTGCTTGCACTGGAAAAGCACAATACTGGCATTCAGAAGTTGAAGTGGTCTAACGATCAATACCTCTTTAGTAGCGGCGGCAACGAGGAGTTCTTCGTTTGGCGCGTTACGGCGCTAGAAAGTGATGTCTGTCCACTTGGGGTCATGTGTGAGGCCGTATTCCCCGACCGTTCTGAAGTGGGCGATCTGCGGATCACGGATTTCGACGTGCAGTGCTTGGACGAGGACACCAGCGCTGATAATGGAGCTGAGCGTAGTAATGACACCGTGTCAAAGGAACCTAAGTTTTGCATCTCTATGACGCTCTCGAACTCGACGGTGCAGAGCTATCTCTACTCTGCAGGGCAAGGGTTCCAGCTATTGGGTAGGCGGACGTATACCGGCGCCTGCCTCACACAACTTCGACATCTTAATCTTACAGACGAATGTTATCCACAAGTTCTGACAGCTGCTACTGATGGCCATCTGGCTGTGTTTACAGACATACGATCACCCCCAGATGAAGCCCGGGATTCGAAAGACGTACTCGTCACGAAACTCCACCAGAGCACTGTTAAATCACTCGACATGCGCAGTATCACCACGGATACTGGAACGTCGTATCTAGTCGTGACAGGCGGTGACGACGATGCGATTGGTGTGGTCCATCTACATCGCCCAGCCGGACAAGCAAGTCAGTACGGGATCCGCAATAAATGCATCGTGCGCTCTGCGCATGCCGCTGCAGTGACGGGTCTCGGAATAGTACGGCTTGAGAACGGGGAGCGGGATGCAGTGATCGTGACCGCGAGTAACGACCAGCGTGTCAAGACGTGGCGACTGGTTGACTGGCAATCTGCCTCGCTGAGGGTTCACTTGCTTGATGATCGGTATAGCGGCGTCGCGGATGCTGGGGACTTAGAGGTCGTGAGAGAGGGCATACTAGACAAGACAGGTGGAGGGAAGGTCCTGGTTGCTGGTGTTGGTATCGAGGCTTGGAATGTTTCTTGATAGATAGTACACAGAAATTAGACATACTACAGGACAAAAGAAGGCGATAGATATATGATGTTGTTCCAATCGAATAACGTCGTCACCATTATAATGTATTGGCTGGCCTTACTTCTTTGAAAGACGTGTCTGGTTGCTTCTTTTAAGACGACGGGTATTTCTTTTTTAAGGCCGTGTTACTACTGAGGAGTAAATTCGCAATAGGGGAGAGTTTTAACGTATTGGATGGTGTATACAAAATTCAACGTGTCAATATAGGCTTTGACATTTCGTTTGTCAGGTATCCAAAAGAAAACGCGTTGCGTCCATGTTTTCGTGGCCTAGTTGGTTAGGGCGTCTGTCTTACAAGATAACTCTTCTTGAAGCTCACAGAAGATCCCCGGTTCGAGCCCGGGCGAGAACATGTATTCTTTTGACTATCTGTGGATGGTGAAGCTAACCGTTCGTCTTTTTGCGTCGTAATCAAAGCATACATCCTTGCCTATCTATGCGTGGGGAAACAGTCTCTTGGGGCCAGTGTCTTATCTTTTGATCTCCTATCTTATCGATAACGTCAATCAATAGACCTCATATGTGGGGCATTATTGCTAGATCGCACCTAATGCACCCACCCGTAGGTGAAGCTCCAAGCAAGCCAAAGCTTGTTGATAACAGTACCTATAGAAATAAAGATGAGCAACATAGCAGCCCGAGCTCTGCTACGTCAGGGACTTGTCCGATCTCAAGCGGGGAGAATGTAGGCCTACTCAATTGACTCGCTAAATATCCTCCTCACTCACACTCACGACAGTAGCTATGACGTAGCTCGTGCAACGATATGCCAGCGTTGTGAACAGACACTCCTCGCGCCCGCCGGTGCGAGGTCAACACTACGCCTTTCTCTCGGCACACGGGCCTTCCATGCGTCCCCCACATCTCACAAGAAGAAGAAAGAAGAGGCCCAGAAGCCCGCACGGGGGAAGTCAGCCGAGAAACCGGCCAAGAGTACCAGCACCAGCACCAGCACCGACGCAGACGACGGACCGAAACACCCCCAGCCGTCCCCCGACGAGCCCCTCGACTTCGCCGACGTCGAGTCCCGCCTACAGAAGCATGCAGAGCACTTCAACGCGCTGCTCAAGAAGGTGCGAACGGGAGGACGGTTCGACCCAGACGTGGTAGGCGCACTGGAGGTGACGGTGGACAAGAAGGCCGGCGAGGCGTACCCGCTGCGGGAGCTGGCGCAGGTGGTGCCGCGCGGGGGAAGGGCGGTGTCGCTGCTGGTGCACGAGGCCGAGTACGTGAAGCCCATCATGAGCGCCGTGCAGGCGAGCCCGGACTTCAACCAGCAGCCGCAGCGCGACCCGGACAACGAGCTCGAGCTGGTCCTCAAGATCGAGCCCGAGAAGCGCGACGAGCTTGTAAAAAGGGTGAAAGCCGTCGCCCACGAGTGGCGCGAGCGCATACGCGCCGTCCGCCAGAAGAGGGACAAGCTCCATGCCACCTGGAAGAAGGACGGCGTGGTGGGTCCCGACCTCAAGAGGACCGCCGACAAAGAGCTTGAGAAGATCATCAAGGCTACTGTTGCCGAGGTCGACGAGGCGGAGAAGAGCACTATCAAGATCGCCGAGTCGAAATAGAGCGATGTGTTTATTGGCTCGTCATGTGGACTTTACGAATGATGTGTGCTTGAGTGAGTAGCATTGTGTTGCCCAGGGACACCAGGTGTGTTAGTGTTTTTGTACATTATATAGTTGCTCTTTTACAAAGTCGTATGATACAATTGGATGTTAGAGCCGTATTCAAGCTGTCTCATGGGCACATTCATCCTCGATGTTTCATGTCTTCAATGTTCGTTCTCTCCAAGCCTTCCTCGTCTTCAAGGGCTTGTGCTCGCTCCACCGGCAGCCTTCGCAGGCTCCGTTCTCCCGCCAGGTAGCAGACTCCTAATCTTTGCCTCGATACGCCGCTGTGCATCTGCATTCCACGTAGCATCTCTCTTCACATAATTCCGCACGACGCCAAACGTATCCCCGAGTTCAACATACTGTGGACCCTGGTACGTGCCGAGCAGCGCATCCTGGAGAACCGCGTCCTTGGTCTCCTTGGGGACTGGCGGGAAAGCTTCTAACCCCATCGTGTCCGCCGACCACTTCTTCACCTCCTCCGTGGGGAAGAACACGCCTGTTCCCTTGGTGTACTGCGTCCACATGTCGTCCGACCGCAGGGTATGGAGAGGGTGGAAGGCCTGTCCGCCGCCGAGGATGCGCGCCTGGCGCAACACGGTCTCGTCCTTCGCGAAGCTCGACTTGGCCGTCGCCACGGCGGGGCCCCAGCCCACGAGGTCGCTCATCGAGATCGAAGGGTCGAACTGGTGCAGCGAGCCTCGTTCCTTGGCCTCCCGCATGGCGAGGACCTCGGGAGACCAGTCGTCCTCCCCCTTGACTTCTTCGTCCTGCTCTTCTTTCTGTCCTCGTTTACGCCCACCCCGTCCTCCCCCGCCACGGCCACGGCCACGGCCCGTCCCACCACCACCGCCTCTTCCACCCCTGCCTGCTATCCCGCCACGGCTGAAACCGCCTCTGCCTCTGAAGCCACCTCGTAGACCGCCACGGATGATGTTGGGGCCGCCGGGTGAGGAAGCGCGCGGAACTGCGAGGGGAGCGGAGTCGGACCGCAGGTCGAGTTTTCTGAAGACGGTATTTGATTTCTGTTGAGGGGGTCGTGGTGAGTTTCCGTTGTTCATTTCTACGAGGTCGGAGAAGGCGGCAGCGGCACGTTGCCTTCCGGTCGGTCGTCCATTGTCGCCGTCTTGGGGCGCCGCGGCAAGCTGCTGGGCGGTAGAGAATGCGCGCAGAGACGCCGCGACTCCCTCTGTGACCCGACTTAAATCAGTCCTCGTGCGGCCGAGGGCCGAATTGAATGGTTGGCGTATCATCGGGTTCAACTGATGCTCGAGCTGCCTGGTCCGAAATTTTGAGAATGAGACCTTGAGGTAGAAACCTTTTGGGGGGGCTTACAAGTAACTATTCGTTAAATGGGGTTTATCACCTAACTGAGGTTAAGCAAGGACCCACTGACTTTCAAGAACGACAATCATAATCAAATTACAACTTAGAAGTACGGCCGGTTATCTTTACAATTACGAGAAACTTTTAGAATTACTAGAGGTTAAAATCATCACCAGCGGATTATATGGTCAAGCGCAGTCATAATTGGCGATGGAAGAACCTGTCCTCACCCGCCCTGTACAACTGGTCTCCGCTTAATAGTATGAATAGTTAGTAATCGTTTCGACATCAAGTCAATACTAAAAGTTGCTCATTGTTGTCAGAAACTCAATAGTACATTTTTTTTACGTAGTATCAATTTGTACTGCAATCCTAGCTCCCAGGAATTATGAATCTAAGATTATCTGCGATCTACCACGCCGATATCCCCGGACACACTGGAATCATTACTTTGATTTTAATGTGTAGTACATATTCAACGAGGTCAGCTAAAAAAAAATAGAAACTACCTAAGATTAAATAAATGGGATTTAAAGTCTCTTGGTTGTTAGGATATCGAAGTTAAGACTCAAGGTTAACCGGTTAAACCCCCCCTGCCCGTTACATGCTTAGACTAGTCAGAACACGCAGGACCACGACGTGAAATCCCTGCCGGGGTATGGATGGCCAGTCTCATTTCTTCCCTGAGATCATACAATTTGTCGATATCTGACTGAAGCTCGGCAATCAGCTGGGCCAGAGTCGCCACCACTATTGGTGATATTTCGTGCGGTTTAGGGTCATGCTCGTGGTGGCTACCGTTGATTATCTTGTCTCCCACCTCTATGGCCTCATGTAGCTCGCGTGCACACTCCTGAAGTTGTTCTTCAGCCTTCTGCAAATCTTTATGTCGTTAGTATCTATCATAAAGGCAAACTGTGTCGAGACGTATCATACACACGACAGTGTCCAACGAGACGGCAATCCGCAGTAAGGTCCTTAATATTGTCCTGCCAAGTTGACGATCGATATCTGACTCGCTGTTGAGTAGACCGTCTAAAGCCGAGTTGGAGTATCCAATTATCCCAACACACTGTTAAGTTTCCCTGCGGCCGAGACGTCTTCTCTCCCTTCCTTATCCCTCTGATGAATGGAATAAGCTGAAACTGGGGCGACCAAACACCGACTTTACTACCCACGCCATCTTGCCTTCCAATCATAACAATATTTCAGTCAGGATTCTAAACTTGTGAATGGCTGAAGGGATATCGTCTCGGATCCCTATACCCTCATAGTCTGGGAACGCACAGTGCTGGGAACATGTAGAATTTTAGATGAGGTCTCGAGGGGTTGAAGTGAAGGACATGGAGCATTGGCCATACTACATTGATCTTCGTGTTAAAGAGCGGCTGTCAAGCTTAGCCAGAATCCAGCTAGGAATAAATGAGATACGTTATTTTTTATGAGCATATAATTTAGTCGAAATTGTCACAAGGGCTAGGATCTAGGGCTTGGAAATAGTATTTAAATATTGCGATAATATTCTTGGGCATCAAGGAGGCATACAAGTCTGCTTTCTCCTTCTGCCCTTCGTAGCGGCCCTAGGTTTATATATACACGAATAGCTTCGCAGTTACTTGCCTAGATAATTCAGGTCCGTTTCGCAGCATCTAGCAAACATGGATAGCTAAATTATTTCATGATTGTGATAATGTATCCCCACGGTCAGCTGGGTGGTGAGCATCATAACAGAATACCTTTTTTGGTGTTATTTGCTTTGTACCATGATCTTCTCCATCCATCTTTAGCCTCTCATCCTATACTCCCGTCTCTACTGCTAAAAGAAGAAGAAGAAGATGGTTGGTGGCATATTGCCTCTCTTCAAAATAAAGACTTCAAGGATTTCTCAAAGATTTGTTGCTTAATAGAGCCGGGGACTCTCGGATTCGCAAGTAGTTGCAAAAGCATTTCCACATTAGCTCTCCGACCTGGCTCTTTGATAATTTCTCCGTGTTCCTCTGGGGTTACCGAAGCGTTGGTCATAACCGTATTGCCATCCAATTTGACGTCAGCTATGGATATGTGGTCGTAGTCTTTATCGTCTAGTTTCCTAAGAACGCAACCACTACGCAACATGGCGGAATCATAAACGACGCCTTTTACGTTCAGAGATGTTCCAGAGGGCGAAAGGTTAACTACAAGGCATAATATGAGAGTGTTCTTGCATCGCATCAGCTCGTCTCTAAGCTGGTCAAGTTGTTTCTGCTCTTTGGGCCCTTTTGAAAAGAGGTGAGCGAAGAGACAAAACCCAAGCCCATTTTTGGTCTTGGCCTCTTGCTCTGTAACGAGGTCGTTGAGTTTATTCGCAAGACCCAACATCGCCTCCATCGTTGGTTGGATAGGTTCGGTCTGGAGCATTGTATTGTTTTTGACT